TGAAAGGTGTAAGTCTTGATTACCTTTCTGGCCAACTGAGAAAGGCAATTCATCATTTCTCCACAGACCTCTCTATATTTTTTCTATTTTTGCGGATGCCAGATTTCATAGACACTATTATTAAATTCTGAAATCCTGATGAATTGAATAATTACATATGCCCACATTTGGGGCTAGCATGGCATAGTGGTTCAAATATTTGATGAGGACTCTGAGACAACAGAATTAAAATTCCTCCTAAGCTATGGAAATGCAGTGGTGACCCTGAGCAAATTGCTTTCTTGAGGTCTTAGGGCAATGACAACCCTTTTATGAATATGAAAGTGTCATCCAAAGTTGGATGTGACCTGAAAGGCACATGAGTTCCTAATGGGGCATAATAATAATAATAGGGCAGATTCCAACAAACAAAAAAGGCAAAAATTCAGTGCCTCAGTACAACATTTCACCTGAAATCTGTTATTGCTACTCACAGAACTAGAATCTTGTAGCTAGAGCTTCGAACAAGCACAGTACCTCATTATAAACCCAAACTACAGAGTACAAAACTTTACCTTCCGCTTTGTTCATAAGCACTGATCATGTATTTCACTGTATGGATCCTGTCAGTCTGACATTCTACAGGCATTAATTTGGGACAGGAAGCAGTTGGGTTCAATATAGATTTTCTTTTAAGATGTATATAATGAACATGTATCCCCACTTCTTTTTCTTATATCAATCAGTTCTCCCTTCTGAACTGATAAAAAGATTTTGATTTATTTACATAGAGACTCAAGGCAGCTAACAATAAATAGATGCAAATTAAAACAATACAAATGCATTAAAATATACATATACAATTAAAAGAACCCCATTTAAACAATTTTAGTCATTAAAACTATTAAACATCAACATATTAAAATGCATTAAAACTCCCCTCCCCCTACAAAAATTCCAATCGCACCATCCCCTTCTTATCAGTTACAGTTACAGCTTTCGGATATACAGTTGTGTCTTCCAGGATAATGGGAAGCTATGGGTTTTGGGAAGTTGTGGTCCAAAACATAATTCTTTTCGTCCAGTCCCTACTACAATATAAGCATAATGCGGCTTTAATTTTTTCTGTTCATTTTTATAAAATCTCTTGGGGACAGTTTTTCAAAAAAAAGCTTACCTAATATCCCAAAACCGAATTTTCTTGTCAAAGTGTCCACTCATGACACACTGTTCTGTGCAGACTAGATCATTGCAGCTGGATCCAGCAAACACAGTCTTTATACCTTCAAAAATGAAGTTATTAGTCATTTCCGTCCACATTCTTCTTCCAACAAAAAAAGTGCAACACAGAGGTGCAATGCAGATTCTTGCAAAGGCCAAATAATGAACGAGTGGCAGAACAGCACTAATATACATAGCTCTTAGCTTAGGGTAAAAAGAAACCAAACAATCTAAAATGGAAAATGTTTTAGAAACACTAGTTTTTTGGTGAAGTAACCTGTGAGTTTCATTCTTGTGCTTAATGCAAATTTTGGTCATTGAATTTGTGGTGTCCTTGTGCTCAGAGGCACCCACTTCTTAGCTTTTGCTAGCTTGAGTTACTATTTTGCTTATTGATTCCATGGATGGTTCTAGTACCAAACAAGACTGATACCAGAAGAATGAAATCAGTAAGCCCCTGCCTAAATCACTAAGACAAAACAATCCGTAGTCAACGCAAGTTTTTAGATAAAAAATACACTTTTCTCCTGGCCCTATTTGGCTTTAACATCAAGAGGCATCAAGAAGCCAGAACTATTTTAGAACAGAGTTTTGGAATCTCCTTTGCTATCAGAAGGGGTTCCCAAAGTCATGAAATCCATGTCACCTTCCAAGTGTTACTGAAGGTGAGATTTTTCAGAATCTGCAATTCCAATTAACAGTGGGATGTAGCTTTAGAAGCATTAACCATTATTTAACTCCTATATTATCAACCCTCTTCAAAACACCTAGAGAACACACCATGAAGCTTATTAGAAGGGGGATCAACAGATATTTGAGATGTAGTTACTCAATAGAAGTTTCGCTTGTGCCCATTCAATTGATGCGGGAGGCCAACAAAGAGAAATATGAATTCAGAACGGCTTTCTTACAGACTTTGCTGCGCAGGTCCCACAGTTTGAGCGTTCTGTCATGGCTCCCAGATACAATGCGTGCATTGTCCAATAAGAATTTCGCCGACAAGACTTTCCCACTGTGACCTGTGAGTGTGTGCTAGAAAAAGATTTGACATGATGTAAGTAAACAGCTAGTCTTGTTATTCAAGAATTTAGCTGGAACACAACTCTGAAAGTATTTTATAAACCACTCTGAAAGTGCTAAACAAACTTTATTTTCAATTATAGTCTCTAAAATACTAGTTATGCAAAAGACGCCAAGATTTGCTAATTCCTAGAAGATAATCAAAATGCTGCAAGTACTTGTACCTGCACCTCTTGGCTGCAAGAAAAAATAATTATATAGAACTGGCCTTTTAACTGTGAATGCTAAGGGAAATCTCAATATCCAGAAGTAGTATACCCCCAATTATTGGATGCTGCAGAACAAAGAAGCAGCAGGTTTTTTTTTTTACCATTAGGACCTGAATGAGAGTTTTTGAAACGTATGTGGTTGACGTTCACGGAAAGACTTCCCAGACTTTTGTCTTATACAGTAAACATTTTAAGTTCACCAAGTTTAGCATTTATGGCTATGTGAAGTTCCAGAATACAGAGCCAGACACTTCACCCTGCTTATCTACTGTCAACTGCATTTAGAAAAACTCTCCATGGCCATAGGCATAGCAGCTCTCCTACGCTTGAGACTAGGGGCATGAGCTGGAGATGGAACAAACTACATATGACGTACGTTCATCACCACTGAGCTGTGGCAGAAAGCAGCGAGTTAGAGAATATAAGAGATCAATATGAAAAGGGCCTTCATGCATACCAAGACCAACTTCAAAAATCAAAATAAGCGATGCATTTCTTTAGCCTATTGGAAAAACCAGTAGCAGCCTGTTTACTCCCAAGCTAGAACCTCCTTGTGAAATGTTTTAATGTGGAAATTGATTTAAACCAAGTTCTGTAACTTCGTAATTCCTAGAATCTATACCAATTGTTAACTTATTGGTAAAAAAGGTATCAAGAACTGTGGTTTAAATATTCTTTCTAGTGTCAAACATGAGTTGAAATGCTGCATGCTTATTCAGCTCTAGTAAGATGCAGACACACATGCCATGCTTCTAGGTAAAAGACACTCACCCGTAACCGATGATCATCTACAGTCCAGATTCTACTGGCAAAATCATTTGAAGCTGCTAATAAGTAAGAGCCCTGTTGGAAAAATATTAAAAGGCCATTTTATTGTTTTCCCCCTTCTGGGTGTTGTATTTCTGAAAACCATCAAAATCACCTACATGGTCCTCTACATGTAAGTATTACTGGATTCCATTTTGGTCAATTCTCCCATCCCAATTCATGTCACCGCCACAACCTGCCACTACTTTTTGATCTTTTACTATAATATTCTAATAATCTGTTTTTGCTTCCTCTTCAAAGTTAATTAATGCTTAGAATGTGGGCATCTATCTGAACTGATTATTCTAATATTTGCATGAAATTCAATAGTTTGATTCTTTATCTTTAAATCCACCCAGATCTTTTTTTCTCATCTAGACTGTTTCATTCTTGCTTCTCCATTTTCTCCACACTCTTTGCATTCTGTCACATTTTCTTAGTGTTGCTTTTATCCTTTATTGTTTATTATTAACTTTATTTCTATTCTGTCTTTCTCCACCTGGGGATTTAATGTGGCTTACAATAACATGACACAACTCAATGAATTTAAAATCATGGCAAATACAAAAATTTAAAATAATTAAAAACAATTCAATATTTGTGTCACTGATATAAGTAAAATTACAGTTAAGACACAATAAAAGCTTGTACGATTAAAATTATATTTAAAAATAAATATCCTCCACAACTCTCATCCACAGCCTCCCCAGCAGCATGCCCCTCATCCTCCCCTAAATGCCTGATGGCAGAGAAATGCCATAACTTGCTTGCAAAAGGCAAGCAGGGTTGCAGTCACCCTCGTCTCTCTTGGGAGGGAGTTACAAAGTCTGGGAGCAGCCACCAAAAAGGCTCTTTCCAGTGTCCCCACCAAACATGCTTAGTGAGTGGTGGGATTGAGAGAAGACTCTCCCCAATTGATCATAAATGTTTGACAGGTTAATAGAAAGAGACATGGTCTTTCAAATAACCTGGACTCAAGCTATATGGGGCTTTATAGGTCAGAACCAGCACTTCGACTTTTGGCTGGAAATGGGTTGGCAGCCGGTGGAGCTGTATCAACAGAGGAGTTATCTGCTCCCTGTATCCAGCACGTTAATAATCTGGCTGCTGCTCTTTGGACCAACTGAAGTTTCTGAGCACTCTCAAAGGCTGGCCCATGTAGAGTTCATTACTGTAGTTCAAATGGGATGTAACCAAGGCATGTACTACTGTGGCCAGGTTCAACTTCGCTAGGAACGGGTGCAATTGGTGGAGTAACTTTAATTGTGCAAAAGCACCCTGGTCATTGCTGATACCTAGGCCTCCAGGTTCAGAGCCAAATCCAGGAGGACCCCCAAACTGCATACCTGTGTTTTCAGGGGAAGTGTGACCCCACTCTAACACAGACTGAATCCCTATTCCCAGATCTGTCTTTTGGCTGACCAGGAGCATCCCTGTCTTGTCTGGATTGAATTGTAATTTGTTTGCTCTGATCCAGTCCATTACTGACAACAGACACCAGTTTGGCACAGAAACAGCTTCCTTACAATTAGGCAGGAAGGAGCAGTAGAGTTGGGTACCATTGGCATACAGATGGCACGGCACTCTCCCAGTGGTTTATGTAGTGATACATAGCCTAGGGGACAGGTCTGAACCCTGAGCGACCCCACAGGCTGTCACCAAACAGGGGGTGGGGGAGAGTAAAAGATGCTTTGCTCTAAAAGAGGTCTCAGTTAAAAATTTGAGATCATATACCCAGTTATGTTTCCAACACCACACACTCCTTTAAGTATTTATGTTGGATGGTAACTTCAGCAGTGTCTACCTATCACTCTAAGGTAACACAAGCTGAATATTTCACTACTTGTCAGCAAATAGTCTTCCAATCACAGCTTTTCTAGAGCAGGACGGAAGAGAAACTGCTGGGAGTTGTGATGGTAAAGGAGACAAAACCACTGGGCACATCAGACCTTTTACTGTTCATCACTGACCTCAGCAAAACACTGTTAGCCGTAAATAGCAAAAAAATCCTTAAGTTTTATGTCAAGTGCCGGACAGCTCCTAACAGCAGCATTTCATATATTGCATTGCTGCAATACAAATAGTAAACTCAAATCAGAGCTTTACCACAAGTGCTCATAATTCTGTACCTAGGACTGAACAAATATGTCCTTTTCTCAGAAACATTATGTGATTCCTATATGGTGCTGTGATGGAAAATAGTTGCAAAAAAGGTAACACTTATACTCACAGCACTGTCGTACTCTATGCTTGTAATCCCTGCATTACTGCCAGATAGAGAGGCTTTAAGTTCACAGTTATCTGCAATCAAAAGAAAACAAAAGCTATGGGAGGTAGGAAAAGGTTTGAACCCATGACAATTTAAATCAGCCAAACAATGATGAACATAGCAGCAGATGATTTCCCGAAGTTCAATGTTAAGTCATTTCCATTTTCTTGATAATATGAGGCTGATAAATAAGCAAGACATTCCATTCTCCAGTCTTGTGCAGAGAGAGTTCAGTCCGAGCTTTCTTGTCCAAGATTCCCTTAAATTGGCAATATTCCAGACGGAATCTCAATTCCTGTATGCAAAATACATGCTGTTCATGTGCAGTAAGAATAATCACTTCTGCAGCAGACAATGGTTCCGGATTTTATCTTAAGAGCAGGACAGGGCTTTAGTTTCTAACACTACACCCAACCTGTTTGGCAATAGTACTAAAATCTAATTTCTAGCATTGTAGCTCCGTAAGAAAACAATCATTTTAACTGAAATGAGCAATGGAAAGCTTGCTTTGTTTGTCAAGGTGTAAAGCGTGCCATAGTTTTATTTCCCTCTCTGTTTCTCTTTAAGATGCTTACCTCCACAGACTTCCCAGAGCTTGACTCTCCGGTCTAAGCCTCCTGTTGCCAATAACCGAGAACCTGGACTGAACTGCACTGCATTTACTTCCCCATCATGTGCATCCTAGCAGGAAAGAAAAACAACAAAAAAACAGAAAACAAGGAATTCAGACTAGAAATATATTGGCAATACATGTAATTTTGTTAAACTTGTGCTTTATGGTTGGTGTTTGGTATTTCAATTAGCAATCTGGCTGCTGCATTTTGTGCTAGCTTCAGATTCAATATAGTCTTTTTATTTTTTTTATAATCTTTATTGAGATTTTCTATTAAAATATAACATAACATAAAATAGCGAAGCAAAAGCTAAAGAAGAAATAGAGAAGAAAGATAGAAGAGAGAAAAAAGCAGAAAGGGAGAGAAAAGAAAAAAAAAAGGAATAAAAAAAGAAGAATTGAAAGTAACATTTTTCTTTGTGACTTCCAGAGTGTCTTCTGTGAGATATTGTCCTTTTCAATATAGTCTTCAAGGGCAGCCCCATGTAGAATACAGTGAAGTAGTTTAATCAAGAAGCTACTAGTGCATCACCTATTGTGGCTAATATTATGTTATTTTATACTCAGTTTTTTCTCTCTCCACAAAGAAGGCTAAGTTATCCCTGTCCAGCAAAGACCACAGATTGTAAACCATTAAGAGCTGGCCCCAAACACTATGAATGTATTTGGGCCTCCAGTGATCTAGGTATGTGCAGTGGGTTTATAGATGGAGTGCAGCCCCATTCAGAGCAACCTCCATTTTACTGGGAGTCAGCTCCAGTTTACTAGGCCTCATCCAGGCAAAACAAGCATCAAGACATTAGCCTAGCATCTGAACAGTGCCATCTGATTCATATGATAAGAGTGTCATCAGTGTACTTAGACTATGAGCTTGGAGACATGGATGGCCTTATCTTTCAGGATCTATGCAAAAATATAGGTAATTGATAGTGATAGCAATTACTATTATTTCAAACATCATAGAATTATAGAGTTGGAAGAAACCACAAGGGCCATCCTATCCAACCCCCTGCCATGCAGGAAAAGCAGTCAAAGCATCCCCAACAGATAAAAGCCTAATTATTGTCAAGACTCATCTTGAGACAGAAAGCACTCCATATTCACAGAAAAATATATAAGAGGTCTCAGCTTGAAAACTAAAGATCATGCACATTAAAAGACACATCCCAGAACTGATAGCTCCTTGACTGGTTTTATTGGATAGCAGTCAGTGCCAAGTACCTTACACTACAGGTAACAAGCAGCAACTTTACCCACATAATGTCAGCAGCCTCAAACTACATCACAGCATTACTGGAGCATGGATGTGGGGGAGAGAGGAAAACACTGCTGGGAGCAAAGAAAGTTATGGGTGTGCATTTCACCAGTGCAATCAGTCTTTCATTTCGTCATCACCGACCTCAGCAAGAAATCTATTACCTAATGAGATGTTGTGCATCTGTAAATAGGATCCCACAATTTTCCACAGCACAAAACCATAGTCAGAAAGACACAGCCCTCATCTTGAAATGGTAATTGCAATGTGCTTCTGTGGAAGGCCAGGGACAACCACCTGCATTCCTCACAAATCCCTCAAATAAAAGGAAAACCGTGCTCCTCTGAGGGCAGAGACACACTTACCATTGCAAACACAAGTGTGGATGCCCAAGTGTGAAGGAAACCTTGCATGCATTCAAATTGTTAATTAGTTACAAGAAAGTACAAGAAAAATTAGTAAAGCAGTAGTAAATTTGCCTAGAATATTCATAATTAGTTTTTTATTATCCAAGTTTGCTTGCAATGTCTGACAAATAATACTTACAAAGACACACACTGCAGTGTTTGGGACTCGCACATCTTTGTTTGCACCTGGATGTACATCCACAGTATCTTGAGGGGCAGGACATGATGCCAAAGAGCGCCTCCTGAGAAAGGGCAGATCCAATGCATAGGTAAGTACAAATAGAAATCAACCAGAGGTCTCCATATTTCAGACTAGGGGATAATCCCCACTAAACAACAGAACCGTAGATGCAAAGAGATTTAAACCCCACTGAAATATTACAGAAGCAGGGTGAAAACACCCAAACAGATTCTTCTGTAAAACAAGGACTCACTAGCTATTATAATCTCTGCAACGGCCTTCTCATATGGACCTGATGGATTGCTTGGCAACTCCTCAGACCAATGCTGGCACAGAGATATGCTTACCCACTTTGCAGGAGCTCTGTGAAGTCCTAAATTAAAACTAGTTCATTCAAGGATCACTGTTTTGACAAGCCTCTGCAGCTATTTTTAACAGAGCTTATTTTTCCTCAAGTCCAAAGAAGTAAATTTCCCCTGCATTACACAAATACATATTATGAATAGCACTGAGTCAAAGCTTACATTGCATTACACTACTAAATATGGATCTTTCCTTAAGTTAGGAAGTAACAACTGTACAGTGATAGGCCAGAGAACAGTCATGAAGACTGCATGGACCTCTGCAATTCTATTATCAACTCCTTGCTATAAGCTAGCCCTCTTCTAAGTGGCCAAGGGCATCACATGAAAGGAAAGTCTTTTTGCCACTACAGATAAATTATTAAGCAAGTGAGTTACTTCATTCTTTACTCATACTCTGGATTAAATGTGAATAATTTTAAGTGAATTTTCACCTGGCAGTATCAGAAGAGTGATGTCCCAAAAGGGGAGACTCAGACAGACTAGAGGGAAAGATCAGAGGTCAGCACACAGTAGATGTAAGGAACAGGAAGTTGAAAATAAAAGGAGAGACAGAAGCTGGAAAAAAGGCTGAAATAAGGACAAGTGTTTGCATTCCTTGAAATGATGGTGTATACTGAATTGATACATTACAAAAGAGGCAAAGGTATTCTAACCTACCCAAAGATATTAGTGATAGAGTCCAGAAGGCCTCCAGCTGGCTGGGAGAGTCGCTTACTAAAGAGGAGGGGAGGACAGGTTTAAACCTTATTGTTCAAACAGAGATCAAAACAATATAGTCCACAACATGCAACAAGGAGAATATTCCTCTATTCAAGACCCATGTTTCACAAAGAAAAGTTGATCACAACAGGACAGTTCCAAAAGACACCTTGTTGGAAGTGAAGAAATAAAAAGCCTTATAATTATGAGTTGATCATAATTCCTGTTGGCTTAAGAGCAAAAAGATAGGACACTTCAGATTTAAAACAGTTGAGAATAAAATCAAGTTTCAGGCAAAATGTGTGGGAAATGATTTACTCCACAAAGAGGTTGTGCCCTACAGCCGAATAAGACAGTAAGAAAGGATATTAACAAACTTTATAAAGAAAAGCAGATTTGGCTTTTAAAACAATTTGAAGGGGAAGAGCCACAGCTCAGTGCCAGAAAACAATCTTTATGCAGAAGGCTACTTCCAGTTCCTATCATATTTCAGTAGAGCTGAGAAAAATGTCCGTACAAGTCTCTGAAGAGTCGCTGCCAATTGGGGAGACAGTACCAAGCCAGATGAACTGACTGTCTGATCCAATACAGCTTCATAATTTTCATTTTTCATCACAGTGGTATCTGCAAACATCCTACTACAATATCTAGCAAATGCTTAGGCAATCTTGCTTCACTTCACTTCCTCCTTACCCACAGCTGCTGCCACCACAATCCTAGCTCCCTGAAATAGTAAGGAGAAACTGGGACTTGTGCAGTTGGTAATAATCATACAACAAAAGAACTATCTGTAGGAGCTATAGATCTGACAGTATTGCAATGTTTGGCTAAAGCTACATTAGTCTTGCAATTCCAAGAGACTGCTGTGAATGTGGAAAGAAACCATTAAGAACCAGAAGGCATTGTTCCCTCTTTGTTTACTTTGATAAATGACAAAGTGAGCCACAAGTTATAATTTTCTATTATCATTGAACTGGTATACTGCACAGATTCAACTGAAGAGAATGAGGGTATGCAACAGCCACCAACTTCCATTCAATTTTAATAGGTCACGTATCACTGGTTAATTTATCCCAATAGGCACCCAGTATCACTAAATTTACATCTATAGGATTCCTTTTAAATTCAGAAAACTGGGAATTCTTAAACCACAATGCTATTAAGGATAGCGATAATATCCTTCCCATTTGCTTTTTAAAATCTTTTATGTACTTGTTTGGTACCTCTTTCCATTTATTTTTTTCTTGCAGCTACTGACCTGGATGTCCGCGTAACTGCACGCACTGGAGAGGTCTCTTCAGCTGGATCAGAGGTTTCATCTGCAAGCACTTCAATATCATCATCCCTTGAAAAGAAAAGATCAAGCTATCAAGATCAAGTCCTTTGAGAGTTAAAAGACTTTCTTGCATTTTTTTCCTTAGGCCCCTTCCACACAACTTAATAAAATCCCACATTATGTGTTTTGAACTGGCATTCATGGCAGTGTGGACTCATATACAACCCAGTTTACAGCAGATATTGTGGGATTTTCCGCCTTGATATTCTGGGTTATATGGCTGTGTGGAAGGATCCTTAGTGGATTCTCTTCCCTGTCTAAAAGCATTCATAAAGTTGATTTCTTATACAGCCAACGAAATAAATGCTGCATGATTTCAACAACAGAATTACTACTTTCCTTAGGATCACAGCAATAAGGGATGCTAGGAATGTTAGCTTAACAACAAGAGTGGTGTGAAGCATTGATTGGACTTGTCCCAGTGTGAGCTGCCCTTCAGGTAAATATTCTGAAAGAATTGTATCTTTTTAAAAGAGTCTACTTTCAGTCTTTGAATGCATATTAGCCATCTACATACATCTGAATTTACATTTACTGCATACGATTTTTGTGATTACTTCAAAAACAAATGGCAAGAGAAAGCAAACTTGGCTTTTGTAAGAAAGTACCCATAAGAGCATATAGACATTTAAGTACAAAAAGCTACACGCTCACATCACAACACAGATCTATCAAGAAGTACTAGTAATAGCAATTTGTATCTGAAATTTAAAAAATATGGTTTTTTAAAGTTTATTTTTCCAAATCTGAATACAAATTACAGGTATCATTGGGCACATCTGTGCTATAAAATTATTATTTTTATAGTACAATAAATATAATAACCACAACCAATAACAGTGTTAACTTCTGCAGAAAATAGAACTAGTCAGTTCCACATAAAAGTATGAAAGGGCAAGGCATTTGTCCTATCAGATAACAGAATCACATTTGTCCGGCCAACAAAACCAGCTTGGAAAAATAGCTTAGACTGTTTGAGCAACAATGATGGCTGAAGGACAAGTTTTACCAGGACAAAAGTCAAATCCTGTCCCATGTCTGGAGGTGCAAGAACCATTTGCCTAAGATTCCAGAAAATAGGCTAGGATATAATGATAACAACAACAACAACTACTACTACTACTACTACTACTACTACTACTTTAGTTTTATACCACCCTATCTCTCCGAAGGGACTCAGGGTGGTTTCCAACATATAAAGCAAACATTCAGTTTCCAGAAAGAAAACCACACAAATTACATCAAGACAAACACATGGGCAGTATGAAAAAACAACCTAATTTAACTTAATAACAAAACAATAACAAAATAACAAAAAATGAAAGCATCATAAACTACAAAAATCCTGCTAAAACACACTAAAAATTAAAAAAAATTAAAAACCAATTGCATTATATCTCCATTAGTCGAGGTTCAGCAGTAGATATGCAGTGGATACAGTAGAACTTCTTAGGAGTTGCTGCTTAAGGAGAAAGCCAACTACATGGACAGTGAGTTTACTAGCTCCCCTTTCCTCAGGTCCTATCCAACATTCACTTATTGGTGACACCACTCTTTTGTCATCTATGATCATAATTTCCCCACATCTGTTTCATAACTTAATTTACATGGTAACATTAATAACTAGTCAACCTACTGCTGAAGGGGAAGCGAGAATGCATGGTGGAGATAGTGCTTCTGGACAAAGGCAAAGTCGAACAGAAGCTTCACTGATGGGACATCTATACATGCAGACATTTCTGCAGGTCATCTGGGGCTACAGAGGTGTCATACACAATTTCATCACACTAGACCATCTATCCACTTTAAATCCATTTTCTGCCTCCTTCAGAATTCTGGGGTTTGTCAGCCAGAGAGGATCTGGGACTCATTAAACTACAAACCTCAGAATTCTGCAGGAGACATTAACTGAATTTAAAGTGGATAGATGTCCTAGTGTGATGAAGTGCTTAGTAGTGGAGCAACTTTATGCATATTCAATAAGCCCCTCAGGTTGCTATAAGATTGAAGCCTTAAATTATAAATGTAAATTACTTTTCCTTGTTTTGTTATTGGTTAAATGAATGATTTTTTTATCTACTTGACTGAGTATTGCAAGTGCAGAATGTCAGAGTAAAGCATTAAAGAAGGAGGATCTACACCATTCAAAGAAATAAG